TCCTACTGGATACGGAGCACACACGTCAGCTGCTGCTACATTTCCCTGCCTTGGGTAAGAGGGTAGTAGTCAGACACCGATATATATATAGTGACAAACACCCACGCACGTACGCAGACACTCGCGGTATATACGCCTTACAGACACGCATATAAAACGGCATTACATAAAGTTGCAGGTTTAAGCTCCTTTGTAGTTATGCGATGAGCTTTGCATTTGAGATAAAAAGTGCTATTTAGTCAAGTTTTCCATTTGATCATTTGTTGAATCTTAGATGAAAGTGTTGTCTCAATATCTTGTACATGTCTACGTAAGCTGGAACGCGTCATGCTTTCAGAAATTGGTTTCCTGTAAGTAGCAAATATAAGAATCTTGAAATTGTCTTTAAATTCCGTCAAATCACTAAATATTTGCCATCGGATTACCTTTTGCATATATAAATGTTGTAGTATATTATATATACACAATATATATATATATATATATATATTATATATATATATATATATATAGCATAGGCGATCTGTTTGACTTGACTATATGAGTGAAGGTAACATATTATCTCAAGCCTTCATGTAAAATTTGTTTATATCAAAGCGTAGTAGAGTGGTCATTTTTACACGCCATGATACACCTTATGCACTCTGACTCATGCGATTCGTCTTCGTACCGATCTAATAATAGTACGCTATCGCTAGAAGGAATATCGCCCGTCGTTCGCGGTTTACGCAACGACCTTGATCATGACGTGACCGTGTGCTATCTGGTGTGTACCTATACCTCAGGCAATACCTCAAATAACACTTCTCTTGTAGTTATTTTTGATGAACTTTTCTATGGATTGTAAAGGTTGACGCAAACCCTACAATGCAGACTGAGGTTGTTAAAAACCGAACTGCTCAGCTACGAGATATCCCTAAATGTTATTGAATAATTCAGGACGTAAATGCGGAAGATATCTGAAGGCAGAGTCTGAAAACTGGTTTCTACACCAGTGATGTCGAAACGATGATATTGAATAAGCCAGATCGCGTCTTTCCTTATTGAGTATACGTAGCCGAGTTTCCATTAACTTCATGTACCCCAGATTCTAATTGAGTATGTAGGCAAGTTGGGCTGGCTGTCCATCTCCCTGTAGACGTGGTTTATACCCACTTTGCTAACGTATGTGCGCGAAGCCGTAAAGTGTATTCCGCGCGGTCCCACGAGCGTGAGAACGTATGCACGCGTTATAAGGAATGACGTTGCCCCAGCTTTGCTCTGGCTTCTATCTGTGCATACGCTGTGGGTATATATGTAAAGTGTCGCTGGAGTCAAGTGTCACTCTGCCAACAGTAGAAACTACGGACATACGTGAAGCTATTAACGTGGCCTTTTACCAGAGCAACGAATGACAACGAGCTGACCATAGAACATAAACCGAAATAAATGTAATCGGACGTGTGCATTATTGGTAGTGAATTAATATAAATGTGTTTTTATCTACGCCTGGTGTTATCATAATTATAGAGATGTACCTGATTGGTCTCGCTAAGCGGGCATTCTGCCGTGTTATTAACTAAATATTTCAAAACCTTACAAAACATCGTTTAATATGGGTATCGCTCACTCGTTTCAGCTGACGGATTTTAACCGTTACGCTTATGCGCATGCACGTCGATATATACCTGGGAATGCGTTTTGCTAACGTTTAGAAGTTCAGCTAAGTTATCAGTAGTGTGTGCCGTGTATGGTAATGTGCGTTGCCTCTCTGTGCAAGTCGACACGTTTCCCGCAGTTGTGAACTTGTGAGACGTCGATCGTTGCGCGTCTATGTAAAGCCAGTGATGATGGCTAGTGGGAGAGGAGACTGCGGTTGCAATTACGGCACTAAATACGCGCCACGGTCTCGTTCTCACAGATCACTTGATATCGTTACGAGAAGCTTGCCAATTCTCCGTAGTGAGTTAGCAATTCAATTTGCGGGCATCACACCGGCAGACGCTCTTTCGTTCTCTGAAACATTTAGGCAACACTTTTGACGAATATGTATTCTGTATACGATGATTTTACTATCATCCTATTCTGACTGGAGACGAGGTGCGGTCGGCAACAGTCGGATTGCCTCTTTCCTTCATCGACTTTGTCTGGGCGCGCAAATTCATGCATTTGCCTCGATTATCATTTAAATGATAACCATGTTTACATAAAATAGTCATCATAAGTGATCGATGCCAGTATACATGTTTATACATCCCTGAAGATAATCTGTTGTGCTGTTGTAGACGGCCACAAGTTTTCGGTTAATTTGCGAGAATATTTGCTTATCTTAAATCTCAGCTGCCACAAGTCGTGAAGTCGGTGCATTCAGTTCTCCCACCAGAGGCGCTGGTAGTCGAATTAACATGAAACCGTCTGAGCTCCGCGAATGTCGAATAGTAATATGTTTGGTATGTGCGTAAACCCCGGCCTACCATGCGTCGAATACGTGCACCAAAATAACACAAAAACAGTGTCGTAATAGCGTGTAGCAAATACACACACACACACACACACACACACACACACACACACACACACACACACACACACACACACACACACACACACACACACACACACACACACCCCCCCCACACCACACACACTCACACACACACACATCACACACACCACACACACACACACCACACACACACACACACACACACACACGAACGCCACATTTAATACTTTCTCCATGAAACCACGTGTGATATCGTGGCTATTCCTATTGACAAAGTTGATATTGTCTCCCTTTCTGTCTCTCCACTTCTCTCTCTCTCTCTCTCTCTCTTCTCTCTCTCTCTGCTCTATATATATATACTATATATATATATATATAAATATATATATATATATATTATCTAATAGGAATAAAAATATGTATGATTTGAATTAGTTACAAAGCGCCATTACAAGTCTTTATATGCTAATTATTACCTAGAATGAATGTAAGTATACAATGCCATGACAGCAATTCTTTTAAAATACGGTTTGGCCAGTGGCATAGGCTACAGGTATAGGCTACAGCATAGGACGCCAATGACCGATAAAGTCCAGATTAAGTCAAACTATCAATAAATACTGTAGCGCTTATTTTTTATTGAACATTAAAGATCCGCCTTGCATCATGTAGCTCATCTCTCGCTAATTACTTCTCCAACGATTGACTAGAGTGGGATATTTTGTTCGGGTCTCGTCAGATCTTATGGATAAATAGCCCCAGGCGGACATTGTTCACCACATAAATCTACGAAATTACACTATTAGGCCCCACTATGCCATGAACAATCCAAATATATATGTTCGATTTCAATATAGGTTATTGTATGTCGGATGTTATAGAATTCGATACGAGAATTAAAACGCTGCGGCGCGTGTCATTGAAGCGCGATTTATATAGCCATCTCCAATATATTTAGCCACTGAATTAATTGGATGTGTGAAGGACTAGTGGAAATTTATGGCTTCTCTTAGATCAGTGAACTATCAAGTAACCAGAGCGTTTATATAGATGCAGAACCAACACCTCTACTGAATACTAATGCGGCGATGGATAAACACTAACTATATATATATATATATATAGATATATATATATTATATAATATATATATATATATCAGAGCGTATAAAGAATTTATATTCTACGCCTTGTTTATACGCTTCTTTATACGCTCTTTATACGCTTCTTTATACGCTCTTTATACGCTCTTTATACGCTCTTTTTTGTCAGCCTTCTATTATACAGCTCGTTGAGTATATATATATATATAGATATAGAGATTTCTTCGTATATTACGACTTGAAACGACGTTACATTAGTTAGTGCACACATGTATGAACGAAGCAAGATGATGACGCCAATGTGTAATGCGCGCGCATCTACGCATGATATATGCACGTCTACAATATTATCATGCATATACGTCCATATTTTATCTCTACGCGGAATTTTCTTTTCTAGGTTCGAATATGTAAACGAACCGGGTTTGCAAAAGAAATCTGTTTGCAAACATATATTCACGGGTCGCATTTTCAGCGCGCAAGAATGCAAATGTTAACGTACACGTATAAAGCGAATAGAGATTTTTGCGATTTAAATCACCAAGCATGCAGCTTCCTTGCATGACAGTTTCGTTGAATTATACATTACGTTAGATGTGATGACCCATCGTTGTATTTCGAATCGCAGGTTTTGAATTACGCGGCCTTGGGAAATCGTACAGCAATGTTATAACGTGTTGCACTCCTGAGCAAGCAACATAATATGACTACATAATTAAATGCGTGGAAATTGCACGTAGGTCTATTGCAACTTCTATTACTCATGCGGCCCGCTGTTCTGAGAAGGCGATATCAGTCACTGCATCCATTTAGTATCATTATATTTGTACCTCTCACGCCAGTAGATCAAGACCGACTTACTTTATCTGGACACTACGAGTGCGCATAAGTACGGTATATAATCTGAAATCGTTCTCTCTTAATTGTTCATATTATCACCCAGGCCGCATTTAGCTGCACTGAAGGAATGTATGATATAGTGCTCACGGCTGTATACACAAAATATTATGGAGCTATTTCGGGCTTCACACGTGCATGCGATTCGCATCCATAATCAATTGTGACATATACTCCCTGTACGTCCAATAACCACTAACGCATCGATTCTAGACGTTACACGACGTAATTGTTGGAGGACAAACGTAATTATGAAGACAATAGTACAATAAGAACAAGAAAATAAGAATACGTGTGGTACTGTTGCGTACAGTTGCCATTCTCCTGTTTTAGTTGAAGCAATTCTGCGAAAGAAACTAGGGGTCTAGTTTCTTTAGGCTACTAGGAATGATTGTTGTAAAATAGCATACTGTTTACGACCGTACCTAAATTCTAGGTTATACGATTTATATTGGTTCGAACATTAACTCTAGTGGTAGACAACACATAAAACATTAAATGCGTAAATCGCCAAATAATTTATATCTTCATTGGAGAAAGGCGTTTATTTCAGGCGCATGGGTAATCCCCTTGTAATAAAAGATCGTGTCTGCATGGCGAATAGCAGAAGTTCGATTACTGAACACCAGCACTGAAAAATGTAAGACACAACTACGTCCGTCAGAATGCGGTTTCCATAGTTACCAGCGACTGTACTGTATGATCGTCACACTCGACTAGCGTGCGGAAAACGGTTCCTGGTTGAGCATGCTAAATTTAATACACATGAAAAGAAAATTATGAGACGTCAACCGGATAATACTAGTGCCCTTAGAATATAGTAAACGTTTCACGATCATTGTGGCATTGCTAACTGCGATGCATAAATAGCGAGATTGTACATGTGCACGCGTTAATAATACCTTAATATCTAATTATACTCAAGCTAATTACATCTTAACAGTTATGACAGAGGGCGTGCGCGACGGGTGCCAATCAACGTATGTTTATCGGTTTTACAGTTCGCACGGGTTTTATATTCAAATATAATCTATGATTATTATTATCCTAAAATATCATTTATGACTTTTGCAACGTGGTTCTGACGCAGTCAGTATATTACTTTAGATTTAGCTGTTCTATGATAATCATGATAACTATAGAATTATACGAACGAAAATCGACAGCATAGCGATCGTAGATCGTCCGCGGAATCATCAGTATAGGTTTATACTCGCGTCTCGTCTGATGAAGCTCATATGAACAGCAGCTGTGCTGACGTCCTGATCTATCTCGTACCTCACGATGGCGGAGGCGGAAGGAAAAAAAACTTCTGGTTTTTCCAGGCGGTGATGCGATTAGGATCCGTGTTTATCGACGAAGCGTGTGCGTTGTCTAAATTTGATTCGTTGTTCACGGTCGATTCCTGAAATCGGAATACGATTCATCTGCTGAGTTGCTCACGTCTTCTCGTATGTATGTAGTACGGCGTTTTAGCCAGGCAACTCATGCATATGTTCCGGGACGGCCGATACATACTTTGGAGCACACATAATTCAACGACGACAGAATGCAGTTTAGGTTAGCTACATACCTTAGAGCATACATAATTTAACGTCGACAGAATGCATTCCAGAATGGTACAAACACATTAACCTCAACGTCGATGCGACGCGGTTTATCAAACGGCCATCATTAAGCACGCAACGTCGACGGTGGTCGACGAAGGGTACCTGGTACCGATCGGACATTAGTCGCCAGCCGGTCGATTATATCCACTAGCCGCGTATAAATTAGTTGAAGTCTAATCAGGTCGCGACGGACACGCGGGCGGCGGATGGGTTTTGGTAGATGGGGAGAGACGCCGGCATCCTCTAACGAGTACGCTCACACTGGTTTCGACTGCTGTTCATCTGCGTCTATAATAAAACCGTACTTGACACCGCTTACTCAACTGTTACGTCTACTGTCTACGAACCACATATTCGACTCTACATGTATATTGTTTCCTATTCTCACCTATCTGCCCAGTTACCCCCTGTCAACAATATATACTCGCTGAGCGACAGTGCCATCCTAACACTCACGTATTCGAATGCTTATCTAAATCTCCTGTTCCGCTCGTATTTGTTCTTTGTCGCTTGTGTCTCAAGTTCGACGTGATTATTATTATTATTATTATTATTATTATTATCTATTATTATGATGATGATGATGATAATGAGTAGCTGATGTCATTGATACAATACGATTGACGTAATCGTAATAAAGTATTCAAAGTGGACTGAATTTCGAACATGTGCAATGTCTCATATCGTAAAATGTCATAACGCGTACACGTCTGTGCATATATCGTGTTGTAATGTACTCACTGTGATCTGATTTCCAAAAGGTGTTATCTCACTTTTGGTCAGAAATGAGTTAGTACCATCAAATTACATTATAGCCCTATCTACATCATGTGTGATATTCATTTGCATCAAAAGTTGGTATATCCCTTCACGAACAGCTTCCAAACATTGAGTTTGGTTCCAAAAGGTGTTAAATCCATTAGAAGATATCATCACACTTTTATTTTAGTAATGTTCTCTTTGCCTGAAACACAGTTTTTTTCACGCTAATATTTCAAGTGAATGGTACTTAGCATAAAAACACACCTGAATGAAATCTAATGTACATGGTAGATCTTTCATTAATTTTTGTTTTTTAATTAAATTTGGATTTAGCGAATTTCAAAAGAAAAAAAGAAAAAACTCATATAAATATAAAAACGAATGATCAGGAAGACCGATGAAATGACTCTGGTGAAGATGATTAATTGATTATACCATTGTTGAGCATAATGAGGATGTATGGTGAACATTTTGCATAATTACTGAATCACCACTGTAATTTCCATTGACCAGTTTTCTTGGTTTTGTAACAACTCAAACTGTAAAATATGTTTATTAAACAATGAGTAAGCTTTAATATTGAGCTTTGAGCTAAGAGCCTGTAGCTTTGAGTAAGCTATTAATATAATGACATTGTTATCTGTTATAAATTACCTCTGTTTGGTGTTAGTTATTAGTGTTTCATTTTTATTTTGATGAGTTTTTAATTTTTGTTCCCAAAAGGCGCTAAATCCTAATTTTATTATAAAACAAAAATTAATTAAAAATCAATTATGTACACTAGATTTCATTCAGGTATTTTTTCATGCTTACTACCATTCACTTCAAACATTAGAGCGAAAAAACTGTTCCAGGCAAAGAGATCATTACTAAAATGGAAATATGATGATATCTTCTAAAATACAAAAGTGGATTTAACGCCTTTTGGAAATTAGCTCTTCAATTGTTATATATATATATATATATATATATATATATATATATATATATATATATATATATATATATTATCAACAGCAGCAGCATCACGTGTTTCATGCTCCATAATGTAACTTGGCGCACGGTTGGGCGAGAGTGTGCGAGAGTGTTCGTGAACGTATGTCAGCGCACGGATAACGAGCGTATGTGCGTGAATGCGTGTATAAGCGTTAGTCACTCAGTATATATACTTACTTCAGGTTGCACTGATGTTTCGTTATCTGCTGGCTGCATTGGTGATGGCAGTGCTATAATACCGCGTCCGAGAGACGTGTAGCGCGTGAGTCCAGTCCGTGACAGACTTGGACGCCTCATACCAGATAGCGAGAGCCGGCCGAGCGTCGCTAGACCAGCTATACCAGGGGTCGCTGTGGGCCCGCCTTGCCGATCGGCACAATAGCTCTCCAGGGCGTCGTAGCTGCATGACTGCTTGCAACACTCGTCGACTATGCCCCGGGGTGTGATGTGTGCCCTCTTCTGGCCACCGGCGTCAGTGCTTCCTCCCCGCTTTTCCATAAACGGCCAAGCTGCAAGGAATTAAGCATACAACAGTCATTAGTGCTTACTTCTTACTATCCTACTAGGAAATAATAGGAAATAAAATGAGTTAATATCTTACTAGGAATGCGTTGACGGCGTTCAGGCACGGGCTTGTAACTGAACGTCTAACAACTGCGTATCGCGCAATGGTTATAGGCGTAAGCAACGAGCACGTAAACTGGCATATGTCCGTCGCTGCACCGCACAAATTACACTAGTGATTCACTTCAGATGGCTGAATCGCTTCTCCTCACGTACTCCTCTGCGCTATGAGAATGATGGATGCGCTGCTGCCTGCTGCTGAATTAACAGGCTTCACTCGTGAAGAGCTTCATCAAAATTCCGACTAGGATTTGCCTGGCAATCATTATTACATCCGGTTAAACACTAAACGTCGATTGAGAATAATTACGCTTAGTTGAAACAAGTGTCGTTCATCAACTCTCAAGAAAGACTTGTTTGCGAAGTCAGGATTTTTAAAGAGTATCGGGATTTGTCGTGTATTCGGATGCTACGACGTTATACGATCGTTAAGATAGGGTAGACTATACAGTCACGGATTGCATACATTTAGCTGCGTGATGTTTAATGCATGCAGGTGCAGATGCATTTGTTATCAAGAAAAAATCATTCAGCATAACACGGTAACTTGCCGACAAGTGCATACCAGTATGTACACGTATGTCTGACTGTCTGATCCCTTCCGCTTTATCTGTCTATCTGTAGCCGACACCGATAGCCCAAACTATTCTCATCTCATTTTCGCATGCGTTTAGATAGATAATCTGGTCATTTCTGTATTTAAGGAAATGCTGCTAATATCAAGTAGAGATAAACTGGACTTATCCATTTCTGCTGAATATAATAATTTTACGCAAGCTTAAAAAATTCATCGCGGTAAATATATCGTGCAATGTTGAATCCAACATTCAACGAGAAAGCATAGAGAAAACGTACCTCAGTTATAATTTATTAAAGTCTAATAGAAATTTAATTAACGTGCAATGTCGCAAGAATTAGTGCATGCTTAAGCGGCTGCCCTGTTCTTAGGATGAGCTTGCGTGCACGCGAACAAATAAATGTAATAAACTTCCCTGAGATTTAGCGTGTCAATAGAAACCGACACCGATCCCGTTTCCACACCTGCTAAAGCGTTAGTGGCGATGTCAGACAACATTCCTTGGTTCAGTAATGGTAACGGGACAGCAAGTATCCCGAAGCTAACGTGATTGCGATCGCGGAGGCTTCCTACGTGCACATATGGCAGCAAGACATGCAAGGACATTGATAAAGAATTCGCGTCTTGTATGCACAGCATTAGCCTTAGCGGTGGCAGAGGGGCTATCACTGTCATCCCGCGTGGGCTGCCACGACCATGCCGGTGCGTGAGCCCCGCGCCTTGTATTTTCGTGGAACACATATTAACGGAAATCCATGGATTCGTGCGTCCGTTACACCGCGGGCGGCCATTGCCGCTATACCGCGTCTCCAAATGTCAGGGTTGTCAGTGTTCGTAAATAATGGGCATGCATTATTCAGCTGACATCTCGCTGTGAAGCAGTGAACGCAAAGACGTAGCGGCTCAGCTTACTTGTATCCATTGCAATATTTGATCAGTTGTTGTCGAGCAAGCTATAGGCTGGCGGCGCCTTGAATGCACTGCAAGCTTCACAGCCACGCGCTCTATCAATATAGACACGGGGAACGTACGGTAATATCGTCTGTAAACAAATTTTTCTCCGTTGTTGATGGACGCAGGCGAAAACAAGGCTTATTCTAACGAACCCAATTTATGTAATATTCGGGGAAACTGCTGCGTCTAAGTTCGAGCAATTTAAAGTTCCTAACGTATATCGCTTGCACAAGGTTGCCTACTATCTCAGAGTAAACGACATTTCTCAGTAATTATGAAGACCACAATTAGTATAGTGTCACATTTTCACACGGGAGAGTATCATGTGTTAGTATTCGAATGCGGCGCGATTGGCCAGAGAACGCATTTACGATATGGGAAAAAACTAACTCATTGATCGTAACGCGTTGTTCGGTTGAATTATGTAAATATTGAGACTTCTTATAACCCGAATCTTTCTATTTATACACAAAACGCACGAGCGACGGTGAAACGCCCAACTAATTCTGGAACTACTCCGATATCTAAAGGACACATGCAGGCGACAGCAGTCAGCGTTGTCAGTGAATCTCACCCAAAAGCTGTCAGGTAGTTTTTAGCTGTTATCAAGCCACGAGGCAGCATTCGTATTCGCATCCCCTATTACCTCGGAAAATCTTTCGATTACGAACTATATGTATTCCAAATTAGTTTCTTTACATCGCACACGACCTGTTCACCAGCCTATACTAAGGGCTCGTGCATGACGTAAAATTTCCAATCGACGAGAATCAGTTCTCGTCGGTTAGTTAAGCAATATAAACGATAACAACACAAAAATTACGCGGTATACTTATTGAGTCGAATGATATGACGTTCGCGCGTCGGCAACTGTAGAACGAATGTCAGACGACGCGAAAGTGTTTCGCAAAGCGCGTTAATGATTGTAATTTAGTCGCAAGGCGTAAGTTGATAAGCCCTTCGCGGTGATTCCCGCCGCTAATTACTTCACTCACTCGTGCCGCGACATTGAAAATTATTAAAGGTTATCACTAAAGCCGAGAGCTGCGCCGTCGCATACTCGCTGTATTACCCGTAGGCCTATTTTATGCAATGTTCAGTGCTAACCTTATACGCTTAATGCTATTATACGCTTAATGTTATTATACGCTTATGCTACCCACGCTAATGTTAACAAGAGTACATAATATAGAAATTATATAATCTCTATTATGTACTCTTGATGTTATCTAACAATAAGCCAGTGATGTTCCTACATCGAGTAATTAATGCTGTTAATATGCGCCCCATAGGGTCGACTCTGATCTCTCGTTGTACTTTGTGCGGTATTCTGACGAGCATGCATCCACTGAGCTATTTTGCGAGTACTTTGCATGTCAGTTATCGAGTTTGCCCGTTAGATTTCGCGGCCCGAAATAACTCAACTAAAAGAGAGACGCATATATAGAGACGCTATACGGCTGGTAAAGCAATAGGACTGAATTGAGCAGAATTTATTCTATTAACGATTTTACCATTATTATTTGCCAGAAAATCGCCCTTTTAACGTTAGACTTTCTATGTAATCGGACTATGTTCTCAGGACTATAGTAAATGACATTTTCTTGTTAGAATTCTAAAAATGGTCTAGGTTTAAAAAAAAGAAAATAAATATCTAAATGCAGAAAACGTTACTGCGATGCTGCGTCTAAGATTGTTTTCATTAGGATGAGAACTCCTGATAGTTGTAAAAAACTAAGCGAAACATTTTTAATCGAACGCATAATAGAAGTGTAACCTAGTAATATTTTGAGGACATAATTCACAATAAAATTTTCATGCACACAGAATGGTGCGCGCTTGGTTTGGGGACCACGTATACAATTTTGTAGTCAATTTCGTTTCAACCGGACAGCACGCGTGATAATGAAAATCAAACAGCGGTAACTGCCTAATAGGTAAGCTAGGTGTATGGCGGTCTTTGTTCAACGGATGTGCTATCTTGCATTACTAATCATATTTTTTCGTTTTTAGTCTATATTATCTCTTCTAGAAACGCGATTCATAAGAAACCCGACGATAAGCGAGTTAGAAATTTAACAAGGGAAATGTATATTACCACGCGACAGTCACAGAGTAGGGACGGATGTGATTAGTTATATATATAGTAAGTGTTACCGGAGGGGCGGTGCTGCCGGACAATGCACGAAATGTCTCCATATATGTCAGTGTGTGATGTTGATGCTAGTCTATCGCATGTCGCGTGTAACAGGATATTGCAAGCAAACATTTCTGTTTACCGTCTCCCGGCTACTTTGCTGCGCTCGCCTCTAAATTGCTAGCACTAGCGGCTGACCAAATATAGTGCGATATGAATGGAATGCCTAGTGGCGGTAACGCGCGGTAGAGAACATGTCAAATTGTTGTTTCATCACTTTACATTTAATATGAATAGAACAGAGTCCAAATCTCTAAGGCGACATCCATATAGCGTGGTTGCAGTGAAGCACTGAAAAGAAAACACGCACGGTCTTAACCGTGCATGGTTTTATGTTTTTATCTGTGCGCGCGTTTTGCTTACTAGTAACGATGAATTATGTATGTTATTCAGTAAATGCACATAGGAACATGTGGTAAGTGACACACGCACACACACACACAAGACAGACAGACATATGTAATGTATGTGCGCTCGAACTTAACGCGTTTCACATGCGGAGGAACATGCTGCGTGAATATATGTGGGCAAGCACGTGCGTACGTGCGTATGTGCCAAATGAACAATACACCGCATGAGATGATCGAAGGGTCAGAAAGCCGAAGGATTCGAGTAGGTTCTACTCACCTGACCGTTTGACGTCTACCTGCCAGTTGAAGCCTCGGCCCATGCACACGAGCATGAGAGTGTCCGTTAGTCTCTTACCGCACAGTCTTGAATCGCCCTGCGTACTGCCACTGAAAACTATTAGGATCATCAATGTTGTACTCGTCACTGCTGTCGCCACGTTGACGTCAGTTCTCATTGTACTCGGTTGCCTCTTCACTATTACTCGCGTACAACTTTAGCCGCGATTCCGAACCGCCAAAATCCGCTCGAATTCACAGGTCCGTACAATGAGCTATATTTCCACGGCTAGAGTAACCGTCTGTACAGTGTACGTAAGAAAATCGTGAACGGAGATAAAAGGTACGAGATTCAATAGACTTGTGTATCTTCAATGACGGACAGAGCCTGTTTGCATAGAAAACAAATTTGTCTCTCCGTGTCTTCAAATCGGCGTATTTGATTAGTGTTTGTACCACAAGTATGCTATTTTGATCCTGTTACAATCTACTGGCTCTGGTCCGAGCTCTGCGCGTCAGTTCTCTAACTTCGAATGTTTCCTAGCAGACTTACGGCAGCAGACGAAAGTAATTCACCATTAACGGTTATATTTATCAATGACGCTGCAGGGAAGCCGAGAGCGCTGAAGCCACGTGACGCACGCAGCCAATGAGCGCCGAGCGTCACGTGACTGACTGGTTAATAGTGATTGAATCAGTGCGATGGGATGATAGGCAGAGGGAGAAATGGGTTTATTTTCCGTTTCGTTACGTGTCAACGTAATAACAAGCTTCTTCTTGTTATAATTGCCAACGAGTCAAAATGATATTTCAGTGTGTTCGCATTAAGAATACGACTCATGTTCATTTTTACTATAGAGTGGTCATTACCATTACTCTTATGCGTCTGAAATCTTTATACTGCTAATTGCATTTTCTCCTATCCCATAACATTTGTTCTTTGAGGATATGTGATTGACACTTGATCACCGCGTCTGCCTTTATTGCGTAATTCGATGCCTATAATCATCTTTCCCCGCCCCACGCCCCGTGCGACACTCGACCATTGTCGTACCCTCGACTGCACGCGTATCGACGGGAAAATTATTCGTTTGCCTGTTAGAATCATTACCGTGGTCAGCGTATATACGACAACTGTCTCCGGCAACTTGTACTGTGTTCCGCAGCAAAATAAGACGAAACTAAACCAATTACGAGCCATTCGCTGATCTGATTACACGCACGTTTGAGCGCATTGATCAGGAACAAGCGTGACGTGCATGCGGCAGGCGCGCACTCTTGTTGGCGTGAGCGACCTCGGAGGCAGAGCTAACAAGAGAGAGAGAGAGAGGTGGGAGGAGTGAAAGAAAACATCCATTACCTGTTTTTACAGATGTACGTTAGCCGAGTAATTGTTGTGGTCACTAACTACGAAGAAGCTATTTAAGTGCTCCGGTCAGGGCAATTAAACGGTAATTAACTCGTTACGCAGAAACCTACTCTCAAGACGAAGGCTTTGATTGCCAATCTTTCTATAGGGCATACGAAAGAAGCAAATAAAAGAATTAGTCATATGGTTGAAATTACTTCACTCGAGAGGTTAATTACAAAACGCAACGAAGCCATTTTCCTCCGATAGAGCGAGCCAAGCTTTTAATGGCGCGTTCATAGCTACACGCGTCTGTTCTCCAGCGTTGAATCACCGCTTGATCGTCTATTCAGAGTCAATCTGTACTAAGCTACAAATCTTACGGTACGTTATATTTAAGCGCGTTTTTCTAAACATAATCCAGGAAGTTTTAACTCGTGCAGGCGTGCGTGTAACGCCTTCACTCTGTAATAAGGAAGAGCATTACTGATCGATCAAGGTAATAGCCAGAGACGGCTAAATCGCTGACTCAGATTGACCGGCGGGGGCGACAGTCACACATCCGTTACATGTGACGAGGCAGATTTCATCACATCCCACGGGACAGTAGTAACAGCACGACGCATTTGCTCTGTAGCTGGTGATTAAGAAGCCATCACGCTCTCGCACCATCTTGTATCTCATTACCCGGGGCGGACGTCGTCACTGTTCGTGTTCCTTTATCACCTCTTACTTTATGTCACTGTATCTCGGGTGAGGGATGCACCCACGTCTTAACGTATGACATTTTACCCCAGGTGAGAGACGCAGACTTACCTACATCTTGCCTTACGTCACTTTATCCCAGATTAGGGTAACAGCCTTACCCTCGTCTTACCTTCTTCCCCATATCTCAGCGTAAGGTAATCCGTCAACGCCTCACGCCAATTTGACGAAGTTCTCACTATAGCATCTAAAGTTACACTCTGCTACATTTTAATAATGGTAGTTAATCAGCTGATTATGTGCAGGATTTGAATGCCTTAACGTTTGTCAACGCTGCGATGCGTAACTTAATACTAGTATTAGCGAAGTTTCGTAAAGCCGCAAGTTTTTCGTGTCATATTTCCGCGTAGAATTACGTCGGTTAATTACAATTTCTTTTTAATTACCTGATGAAAAAGATTTTTTTCCAGACTTGACACAAATACATACATTTACACATAATATTATAGCTGATCAAATATGTAGACACATACAGGATTCGAACACTAATAAGAACATATTCAAAACATATTTTGGATCATATTAAAAAATTTGGGAAGATTGTTGCATTTTCGCATCTTAGTAATCAGAATAATCAGATAATAGTAATCAGCCTTCTTCGTTGATGGGCATGAATGGGGCGTCACCGACTTGACCAGTTCCTATACCGACTGTGTTTACTTTTCGTAAATAATGAAATGCCCGGCCGATGCTAGACTGGTACCCGTTCGCCACCTTCACTCCGGCAAGTATCCTTCGCTACACTGACGCTGTTAGTGTAGCGTGTGGAACTGTCGACCGGGTACCAGTCTAGGCCGATGCCAAACTGCATGCAGTGCATCTTCGTACACTCAGGATACTCGTAGATTGAGCCCATGAGCGAGAGCGTGGAGTTTGGGCCGATGCGATGCATTTTCTGCGTTTTCTGCGTGATTATTATTTTGCGCAGGCACTCATTTTGGAAATCCTCCAACATTTTTAATTCTTCCATTAAGTCCATGTTTCACTGTTATTTAGGAAGAAAGGTAAAACTGTGCATTCGTATAATTTCACTCTTGCTTCTATAGTATGATTTCCATAATTTTGCTCTTCTACCCATGATAATATTTCCCTCGTCATGAACCTACATTTTTTAGTTCGGACTCTTATCATATCGTTATAACCTCTTATATCATTAATTAAATCCCCTAAGTATGAATATTTGGTGCATTTTTTGATTACTTAGTTACTTATTAATATCTCCTTCTCTATCCTTTCTTTGTTGGTGAATTTTATAACCATTGTATTTGTTTTGTTCATATTAAATTCTAATCTTTTTGATTCAGCTAATCTGGAGCATGACTGAGCGATTTCTATTACTGTTTTATAATCTCCAATTCCTAGAATATCGTCCATATATAATCATTGTCATCTTCTAAAACTACAAATCATCCGCTGACCGCTGTGGAGACGTGCGCCGGGCCTCGAATTTGGCGCACGTCTCCACTGCGGACAGCGCTTCATACTTGAACATCCCCGCGGTCGCGTGCTCATATCCCGCGGAACTGCGCGTCTCATCCGCGCGCAGCGCTTAGGATCAACAGCAAAGCTGTGCCACGCAATCTTGTATCATGTCTCTCTGGATGAAGTCACCAACAAAATGCAGTAAGATGTATACATTACATATAGTAAAAAAGCAAATTATAGGCGGTGAATTATAATAAGTTACTGTACAAATGCCACGACTACTAATTCAACAAAGTTCTGCACATTGGACAAACGAAGGGCACCACAGACACCCTCCACACACTTCCTAGCAGGCCTAGCAGAACTGACTCTGACCAAAAAACAACTTCCAGTTTAACAACCACCACTACTTACAAATACAAGGTACAGCAATGGGCTTCACGATGGCACCGTCTTATGCCAACCTCTTCATGGACGATCTAGAACGCACGTTTCTAGCCTCCACAAAACACAAACCGCTCGTCTGGAAGAGATTTATTGACGATATCTTCATTATCTGGACTTATGGCACCGCCGCCTGTGACTCATTCGTCACAGAACTAAACGACTTCAATCCCACTATTAAATTTACTGAATCTCACAGCGCGATCTGTCTCCCCTTCCTAGACGTACAGGTGCCATCGGCAAGGGGTCCTTGCACGCAGACTTATATTGTAAACCCACAGCCTGTCACACGTACCTCAGGACAGATTCAGCCCACCCCAAGGCTCTCATAGACAACATCCCATACGGACAAATCCTCCGCCTAAAAAAAAAATTCGAACAACACGCGCTTCCCCATGCGCTGCCAGGAGTTCAGACAACTCTTCCTGAATCGGGGATACAAGGCAAATCTGCTAGACAAGTCTATACAAAAAGCGGCCCAATGCCCAATAGACTCACTGATAGAACCCAAACCAAAGACAGTAAACACGCACCAACGAATTTCCTTCATTATGGAATACAACCCCAGCAACCCGCAGATCAAACAGATCATTCTAAAACACTGGCACGTTCTCTCCGCCTCACCGGCCCTTAAACACATCCACGACCACCCGTCCATCTTTGCCCTAAGCAGAGGTAAGAATCTGAAGGATGCGCTCATACGCGCAAGAATATCGACGCAGCACACTCGCCCTCTGCCTCCGCCAGGTACACGCCCTTGCGGGCTCACACGCTGCTCCACGTGCAGCACGGTCAACTCACACACGGTCTTACCCTTTCCTCCCCTCTCAAGAAATCCATCACGCACTCCTTCACATGCAACTCCACGAACCTCATCTACAAAATCTCCTGTCGCAAATACCCCACGGCCAGATACATAGGCGAAACGCAGCGTAGACTCAAAGATCGCATAGTTGAACACCTCCGTGACATGAGCAAACGAGACATGAGCAAACCTGTCAGCGCTCATTTTTCACGTGACAACCACACCCGAGCGTACTTTCAGTGAGGGGGCATTGAGAAAATATTCTTTGACCCCCCATGTTATCAACGTGAGGCTATCCCTAGCCAGACGACCCCAGGGTAGCGAGCAGTTCGATGCACATTTTAACACATTTACAACTACAACTGTTATTAGAGTTATATCAACTTTACTTGCTCTTTCCTCTTTGCATTGATGGTGTTGACGCGTGATGGCTAGAGCGCAACTAATTGTTTGCCGGATACTGCCTAAGTATTGAGGATGCGAATTAAGCACTCTTCATGTTGGATATCGACTTGCTTCTCTGAAAAACGTGGAGCAACGTAATCTGTTTGCTATTTTATCGCTGTATTCATCATTCATAAATATATCACAGATACGATAGTAATAATAATAATAATAATAATAATAATAATAATAATAATACAATTCGCTCTTCCCTTATTAATCAGCCATTATTATTTTCTCTCCCCGTGTTGTCTCTCGTCCTTCCGTCTTTTTTGTTCCCCTTTTCGTTGTCTCTCCCGCTTTTTCT